AGTGCGCTACATCTTTTGCTTGGTGATGTGTCAACTTCACTCGGTCCTATAAATAGGAATCAGTCAGAGATGGTGGATGATAAGCTTCTTGGTTTGTCTTGTATAGAAGAACTACAAGAATATTCTCAACATATAAATTTTGATTTGGGAGTATTTGATGAATTTTTAAATGGAACTGTGAATGGTGATACTGCTGGTCATTTGCTGGAGCAGTTTTTTGGGGATCAAGATGCTGCAAGATATATGAGAATGAGTCCTTTCCTTAGCTTTCCCAGAGAATGTGAGTTGCATAAAGCACTTGGACCGGTTTTTGAGAACCAAGTAAATGAGTATCTGCTGGAGTCATTCTTTTCTAGAGGGGCAGCAAGTAACAACTCAAGATTCGTCTGCAGTAAAGATCTGGTAGACTGCATTGAACCTTTACAGTCTGATAAAGGGGATACAGAATATTCACTAGAAGCTGTCGTTACAGTTGTAAGTAGCAGCTCAGATGATAATTCTTCTGGTACATTGAACAGCCTCAAGAATTACACAACCTCGGCAGGACAATCTGCTGCTTCGTCTCAACCAGAGAACCAATCGGAAATTCGAGCCTCAGCAGGGCATGATTCAGTGCCATGGAGTCCACTTACATCTGCTCCTGTTGCCCAGGGTAATAGCGGTGTTACTGCATTTTCCTTTAAGAGTACATTGAGCACGGTAATTGTTAAAGATGAGACTGAAAAGAATGAAGGTTACATTCGACCTCGGAAAGGGAAGAAGACGTCCACTATGTGCAAAAGGAGTAGGCCATGTGAAAACCGAAGGCCAAGACCAAGAGATAGGCAGATGATCCAAGATCGAGTCAAGGAACTGCGAGAACTTGTTCCAAATGGTTCAAAAGTGAGTTTTTTCTCAGAGTTAGTATCTCTAAAGTGATCTAGATCGTCTGTCTTAATAGTAATTAATTTTCTTACTCTGGTAATTGCAGTGCAGCATTGATGGCCTCTTAGATCGAACCGTAAAGCACATGCTTTTCTTAAGAAGTGTAGCTGACCAGGCTGGAAAATTGAAACAGTGGGTAGATAAGGAGGTTGGTCAACTTGTTTCATGTGTTCTAGAATATTTTACTTTAATTATAATTAAATTATTCAAAATTTATAATTTTACTTCATCCCTCAAGGGAAAGACAACTCCTAGATGTAGCTATATCTTTAATGCAATAACCTCATAATGAACAGCCTCACTTATGTGGAGCGTCTTTTAACACCCTTAGCATGGACATTATGCAGTCAAGACACATGCCTCATTTAAGGTCTATTTGAGAAGGAAGAGAAAGGAAAGTGTAGGAGAATAGAATGTTATGTTCGTTATTGAATAATTTGACTCTATAGGAACACAACTTCAGGAGCAAGAAAATGAAGCCTTAAATAATTAATTACATCAGCCTATTTTTTGAAAATACACCCCTTCTATAAATAAAGAAATTAGTAATTATAAATATACACTTTCCAAATATGCTGGCGAAGAGATATTTCCGACTCCCAACTCGGTAACGATTGTCTGAAGTACTGGATTGCTCAAGCTTTTGATAAATACATCTGCAAGTAGAGAGTTTGTGGACATATAGGATGTGCAAGTCAGACCACTATCTAGTTTTTTTCTCAATCAAACGTCTGTCAACTTCAACGTACTTAATCCTGTCGTGTTTTATGTAATTGTGGGCGAAGTTGATTGCAGATTCGTTGCAAGATGCCTCACAATACTGTAATAGAAGACAGAGTCTGGGACGGGTTTCTACTGCAGGCATTGATGGAAAGATCAAGCTTCCAATCAGCTTGACTGTCCATGAGCATTTCAAAATCTTGTGAATTGCTTGCTACTATCGCATAGTAATAGAATTGATATCTACAGGCTGCTCTTGAATTTTGAGCTAATTAAAGTATGCGAACAGGTTACGACTCGCACCAACAGAAGGGCATCTGAAATAAACCAAGGCTACGAGAACGGGACAAGTTGGGCATTTGAATTTGGACGTGAATTCCAAATATGTCCAATCATTGTTGAGGATCTTGCATACCCAGGACACATGCTCATTGAGGTATTTATCTTTCGCATAAAGGTCATTTCATATTTTATTACCTGCATGTATCCTTCAACTTTTTTCCTTGCTTATATGGTGACTGCAGATGTTATGCAATGAGCCTAGCATATTCTTGGAAATTGCCCAGGTGATAAGAAGCTTGGACTTGACCATCTTGAAGGGAGAGGTGGATAGCCATGGAGACAATACATGGGCTCGTTTCGTTGTTGAGGTAGAGGTATTAGATTACTTACAAACTGTTCAAGATACGAACCGCCAAAAACAGAGCCCAAAATTTCTGATACATTTCCCATTTATGCAGGCGACAGAGGGCTTTCACAGACTTGATATTTTTTGGCCCCTTATGCAGATTTTGCAGTGCCACCGGAACATTCCTAACGTTTTATAATGCAGTGCTTAAAAACCTTGATCCTGTCTTTGTGCAAGTGAGTAAATACAACATGAGTGATCTTAAGCATTAGTAGCTGAACTGCTACAAAATGCGAAAGTGAAAGTGAGTAAAATGTAAGTTAATCTGAAAGTTAGTAGCCGGACTGCTCCATTGTGTCGTACGAGGATTTATTGTTTGTATGCAAACTGATATTAATGTTCTTAAATATTAGCAGCTGCTCTGCCATGAAATGTAGGTTAGTACTCGAACTGCAGGACATCCGTTCTATCGTACAAGGATTTACTTTTTGTATACAAACTGATAGTGATGAATTTTAATTCAATTAGTTAAGAGAAACCCAGTAATGAAAAATGAATCCAAACGTGCAAATGCACACAGGAAACCCTTTATGTACGTGGTTAGAATAAAGTTAAAATACATTAGGCAAAACTGGCTAGTCAGTGGTATCCCTAATTCTAGCAAAACTGCCACTTTGCCCATCTAGGTTTTTTAAGGGGAAAACTAGAGAGGAACTTAATGCGGTATCTGAGCCAGTAGTAATGTGTGCCACCACCCGCAGGCTATATTTTTAGGCCTACAACCATTGATCTGAATGAGGGAGGGGGTGTTGCGGTCGGTTGAATCACCTAGACCAAGCTGTGCACGGATAGGAGGAAATGACAATGTGAGACCATAAGCAACTAGGGGAGAAAATTTTTAAACAGAAAGTATCAATGACCATACCTGACCATACTTGTTCCAACCCCAGCTGTATACTTGGCCATCCTCTACAATAACCACAAAGAAAGAAGTCAGATTTAGTTGTCTTCCAAAAATTTTAAACGTAAGTTCAGTTGCTCGTGATTCACTGAAGTCGTTTACTCTTTAGATTTTAAAGCTTATATATAATCCATCTAAGTATATTTTTCATAAACTTAATCAGTGAACTAGGATCAATATCTGGTCACCGTGACTTTATTTCTTCAAAACAAACTAGCATATCTATTTACTAATTTATTATCTCTGGGAAAGTTCGGAGTAATATCATAAAGATCAAAGATCATATTAGGTTAAAATATCTAGAATAGGGATGATCTCGTCAAGGTAAATCAGCCATAAAAAGAGAAAGATAAGGTGCTGGCTTATACTGGAAGAATCCTGATATGCAATGAAACCAGCTGGTTGATTTTTACATCATATATTTAAAAGTGAGTAGTTCAGGATAAACCAACTGCCGTGTGATTGAGGTTTTTTACACGTATGATAAGGACTCTTTCACGTGCAAATTAGATTCTTTCATAATTAATATCTCCTACCAAGAGGACTGGGGTTTGAGAGTTATGAAGCCTCTTCGAGGCAAGCAGAAAAATTTAATAAAAAAATAAAAAAAAAATCTGAATTTCAGCCTCGTTGAATCGGCCACAGTATCATGAACAGTATGTATATTAGCTTAGAAGTTCTACCTGTAAGTATGATGGTATGGCGAGCACCGCAAGAAACTACTATTGCATGCTTATTGTCAAGACTCGGGGCATCCAATAGCTTCGGTGAAGTCTAAACAGGAGATGAAAATGTTAAATCATTTTCAGTAAGATAGTTGTTCGAGAATTTTTTTTTTTCTTTTTTAAGAGAAGATTGATTTTAGATTAAATTATAAGGCGGCTGACACTGCAGACGAGTTTTAGAAGGATGACTCGTAGTAGCTTTAGCTAGCCACAAAAGCAATCAAGTGGTGGAAAATTGAGAAAGGCAATGATTAAATCGCATATATGAAACTTTTAGTATCTACCTCTGCATGGTCGGTGCCTGTGCCCAACTGTCCGAACTGATTCCCACCAAATGCATATACACGACCCTCGGTAGAGATACACACAGTATGCCAGAGCCCAGCTGCTACGCTTTGCACTTGAGTACCCAATAAAGAAGACACAACAGTTGGTCTGAGTTGATCATTTGTATTTCCGTGCCCGCACTAAAACCAACAATCACCATCGTATAATTATAACTAGAATGAAATTAGCTTTGATCATAAACAGACAAATATGCCTTAACAAAGGAAATAAAGAGAAAATATTGCTAAATGACCACAGATTGATCTTGTTGAACATGTAACCAAGAAGAAAGAAAACTTGGGGAAAGCATGCTTCATTAGAAACACCTTAAGCATGAATTAGAAGACTGCTGTCAACGACTGCTAATGACTGGGGAAGGGTGCATCCCATCTTTTGAGTCTCTCAAGCTGATGGTTTTCCTCTAAAGTCATATCCTAAATATGCAATTTAAGGGAAAAATACAAGCACTAAAGCATGTCAGATGACCGGCATGGACCAGTGATCACAAGACTCATATCTCACCTGTCCATAAAGGCCCCAGCCAAAAGTAAGTAGCTTTCCACCATCTACAATTGAGAACAAAAACAGAAAATGGTTCAGGAAGTAGGAAAAATAGTTTGAAAACTGACTATTGTCAAAATCTAAACAGAACCAACAGAACTGCGAACTCTGCCTATCAACTTGTATCATGAAATCATGCCGACGAAAAAGTTAGAAAACCACAAGGTCAAAGCAATCTTGAAGTAAGTCCGTCTGCCCAGCATCAAGAGGTAAATTTTAACTCTCACAACTACCATAATTAGTCCCAGTTAAATCCTCTTTGACAAGCAAGACCTTAAAATGCCCACGAGCGTAATGATGATGGAAAACCATTCATCATGTGCAAACCTGTTATTACTGCACTGTGCCGGCCTCCACAAGAAATTGCCTTCACATAACTTCCGGGAACTTTAGAAACTTGATCTGAGACTTTCGTGCTTCCTTGATGCATGACTAAAGACCTATCAGTCGCAGAGGCATGTTCCTCGATGCAACGTATGAGATGAGGAGATGACACCATTTTTATCCGGGATCCCAGACCTAGCTGTCCTTCACCTCCATAGCCCCAACCCCAGACCTGTCCTATATCTGCAACTTTGGTAAAATTATGATGCATCAGGTGTCTTGCTTTATATCAAAAATCTTCCGTATCTTCATACTTCATATAACCTACAAAACTATATGGTGTGACCAGCAAGAATAAATAGCTATGCTGGGAAATCACAGGCTTGCAGCAAACCAGGACGTTAGTTAATTTACCATTACCTGACAGAGCTAAAGTATGCCGACCACCAACAGCAACAGCCGTGATCCTCACTCCAGGACCCATGTTTGCGATACAAGGTGACATTGCGAAATATTCATCTCCAGACGTTGGGCTTCCGGATTCTTCTTTAACTACTGAAGTTCTTCGTCGCTTCACAACTTCCTCTCCAACCTTCCTGTCCTCAGGCTGTGAAGTTATCTCAATATTTACATTTGAGCCTTGTGACCTCGGGCTCACTGTAAATTTTGTTCATTGCAATATCAATCTGTAATAACAGAAAAAGGTGGCCTCTTTCTCAACTTTGAGATGCATAAGTTGCTACAGAATTTACCTTGCTCAGTCAACCCACTTTGTTTCCCACTGGTATCCTTTTGGAAACTTCCAATAACCAAATCACGGCTCAATTTTCCTGAGGGAACACACTCTTTCCAGCCCCATGTGTACACTTCACCTGTCTCTGCATATTGAGAAGTGGAACGAGATCACCAAAATATTATAACTGCTTTCTCAGTTATATTATGAGGCCACCATACCTATTTAATATTTACTTGCAGGTGCACATAATTGTCTTGTACAAATTTCCTATACTGTACTGCAAGAACAACAAAAGCTGGAATTTTCCAAACAAAATTTACGTGATTTCTTTGTTGATCAATCTCGGAAAACCTCTATGGTTGGGAGGCATCAAGTAAACTTTGATCGCTATAAGTTAGGTGAATCTAGCCCTTGTTCAAAGGCCAAAGTAGTTAAGACAGGACAAGAGGGTACCTGTAACTGCAGCACAATGAGCCCAACCAGCAGCGGCCTTTACAACTGAAGCTTCAGTTGGAAGAGGAAACATCTCTGGCGTTTCCTTAATAACAAGCCGGAGAGTAATTGCAAAATCAATTCACAACAGCAAACAAAAGATATAATTTCATAATTTAGGAGATCAGTAGTTACCCCATGCATCCCCGAGGCGCAGTAGCTTTGACCCTCTTCATCTGTCGAACCCCATGTTATTAGCTTCCCAGATTCTAATCCACAACATAATTATCAACCACTTCAGCTACACTCCACTAAAATTATCAGACAGAGAAATTATATTCCCTAGTTAAGTTTAAGTATTTGTTTCTGCAAGACATCCATAAGTGAGATTTATTAGTTACATGCATAGCTTAAATAAAACTTATAGCTCTGCTTTCCAGTTAGTTTTATTGTCTTATCTTACGCGTGTATTCAACTATTATTCTTATTCTCCTCCTAAACAAAAACTCTCTTTCGTGGTTTAATTATATTTTATATCCTTTAATTCCTAATTTATACGTAATTTACACATTTGGTGTATAATAATCAATTTTATTTTTGTAGTTAATTGCATAACCATAAATTTATATTGCTACTCTCAACTTAAATTAGTTAAAAAAATTATAAATCAATCTAAAAATAGCTCAAAATTAGACTACTATTTTTTTTCAGATATCTATTCAGTTTTTTGGTTGGCCCCCGAGGAAAGATTCGAAAACACACTCTCTCAGATTTATATTTCTATTATTATTACTGCTTTATAGTATTGAAATTTGCTAAAAACTCAAATTAAATGCATTTCAATCAAGCTTCTTCGGAAACAAAAGGACAGAGAAAATTTATGCGTTAATTCAAGAACTTATTGCAGCAAAAGATTTTAGAAATAATCTATAAAAACTAAAATAATTTAAAGATTTAAAGTAATATTATCCCTTTAATACTCTGCATTCAGAAGCAAAATAACAACGGAACACGAGAACTACTGTGCCATCGTAATCCAGAATGCAGGGGAGATCGACAACGAATCAAGGTTAACAGTGGAACTTATGCTCGGCGATGAGACTAAAAGGAATCTAATCAGAGACACTTAAGGTTTAATCAAAACATAACAGTTGTTCAGATCAGTATTTTTCGTTAAATACACGAATATAATATAAGATACATGGCAGGAAAGAGAGAGAAGGAGTGACCTGAAAGAGCCATAGCAAATCCGCAACCACCGCCACAGACGTCCTTCCATGAATCACCACCGCGAACGGTTTCCGGCAAGCGGACGAGAACCGGAGAGAGTATCGGCGATTTCTCGAGCGAAGCTCCCGGTAAGTAACCGCACATATACAGCATTGGTTCTTTATATTCCTCCATTCTCACCTCATTCTCACTCATGGCGGATCCACACTCGAGCACGATCAACCTTATCAAGATACCTCCGGTGTTTGATCTGTGTCTGGTCGCGCTAGGTTTGCGCGATTGCGAAGAGTCAATGCGGCTCGTTTGTTGTTTAGAGAAGTACGGCAGAGAGAACTAAAAGAGAGAAAAAAAAAAGTAAATAAGCAATGAAGAAACATACAGGCCAGGCCAGGCCAGTGCGGGCGTATCATTTACAGGGACGTAGCATGTACCACGTCGGACGCCACATAAATTCTTATGACACGTGGCAAAATCACAACCGCGTTTTCGAGATTTTCCTTTTTACGCCGCGAGTTCCCTGGAACTTTCTGGAACAAGATATTAAATTTTTTTTTTTTAAAAAAAAACTTCGTCGTTTTCGCAAGCTTTTAAAAAATAATTAGTAATTAATATAATAATGTTAATTGTACAAAACAGTCTGGTAAGAGTCCCCTGGAAGTTTCTGGAAGAACACCAGCAAAAAGCTGGAGATTATAATAATTCCCAATTTTATTTGTAATTTGCACCATTTGGATACAAGAATAAATTTAATCATTTTCTATATTTAAATAAACCCATGGTTATAATAATGCCATATCGAATCGAACCGTGACCAAATATTCTCTACCCCGAGCTGAGTCGAGTCACGAACAGTATAGAATTTGATCTAATCTAATTTCAACCGGTTTGTTCCATTCGAAACTAACATCTTGTTTTAATAAATTTTAGTAATGGTTAATTAATGTATGATAATTACAGTAATTTGATGACAATAACGTAAGATGGAAACGACAATTTTTTTTTTTTTTTATGTTTTTATGTTTGAATAATTGTATATTAATGTATGTTAATGACATATTTTTATTTGGATAGTAGGATGATATAATTCTATTTTCTGTCAAATTACTAATTTAACCATACATATTTATGTAATAATAAGTGGTATATAATAAAAAAAATTAAATTATTTATTAATATAATTACATTTGTATTTAAATAAATAATTATTATAAATTAAATTTTTAGATTTAATAAAATAAATAATAAATTGTGATGATAAAAATAGAATTAAGTATATTATATAAAAGTATAAATAAAAAAAAATGTAACATGCCAGTCACACACTATTGATTTTATGGTTTTAAAATTCATCTAAAATTTACCGGTTTGAAAATTGAAACAAATATGATTTTCTTGTACCGATAAAGTACCATATATTAAAATTCTATCATTTAATACGATTAAAGGGTGTAAATAGATTGATGTGTATATATATATATTTTTATGTTTATTATTAATAAAATTAATTATAATTCCTAAAAACATAAATAATAAATCATTAAGCACTAAAGAATTAATATAATTAATAAAGAAACAAATAG